AAATTCAGGTCAAAAATAGGATAATTATTGAATAAATTACCATGCAATAATTGTGTGATTTATTGCAATTTTTAGCACAATTATTGTATGGTCAAATATACAGAAATCGTAGTGAATTTAATTGAATGATTTTTCAACAAAAATCACACAGACTTTTTTCATAGGGTAAGAGAAAATCTGTATTCTAGTTTTTTTACATGTATTGAAAAATATCCACTAGATAGACCAAAGGAAGAAACATTGCTGTATATCAATAATAATAGATAAATGCATTTGTATTATAATAAAAAAAAAGCACAAATATATTTACAACTGCGCCAGCTAAGTGCTCCCTTAATAAGGCACTGAATTTTTTTACTTTACGTTACTCCCTTATATATGTCTCGTGAGTCGTGATCTGTTTGTTATCTGTACAACAGAAAATATTGAATAATTACGTAACATTTATTAAAAAAAAAAAATTTCATTTTTTTTTCTTAAGAAATACTTTACAAATCAATTATTTTATATAAATTATTATTTTATCACATTTAAAAACTAGTGTTTTTACACTTTATTACAATAAAATCAATTTCAATAAGCCTAAAAACAAACATTATTTTTAATGAAATGGTTTTAATACGTGTAAAAAAATACTAATTGCTCTAAGGGCTGTAATTTATATATAAAAGTATTAAGATTGTTATGAATATTTAGAGTTGTTTTAATAAAAATTAATACTTAAGTGGTTCCATACCCATTTCATTCTACAAAAGCACTGAAATCGCGCTGTAAAATTGCATATACCCCATAAACACGTGTGGTAAAACATGTGATCTTCTTTTGATGCTGCGGTTCAATAAATTTTTATTTAATGAATATATTATTCTTTTCGTAAGTAGATGATTTATTTTCTTTTTTTCCTTTTAGTATGATCTTAAATTATAATATTTTATTTTTACATTATCTTCAGTAAATCGTAGCACAAATAGGGATGCCAACGGTCGGTTCGGTTCGGTTTCAGTTTTAAAACCGTGGTTTTCAACCAAAACCGAACTGACCGCATAACCGACCGGTAAAACCGAACCGTAAAACCGGTACAAAACCGAATTTTAAATTTTATTGATTTATTAATAATTCGTTAATAAACAATATCATTAAACTTATTAAAAGTTTTTTATTAATGATTTTTACAAAAAAAAATAACTAAATAATTGTCAATAAACCAATAAAAAAAATACTAATAAATGTTAATAAATGAATAATGCTAATAATGTTTAAATTTAGTAAATTTTTGCTGGAAAATATTGAAACTCCTTATATATAATTAATATATTTAAATTCATTATACTAAATTAAAATATTTAAGTTATTCAATTCCTTCAATCATCCAACTTCTTAAACACAAACATGCCCTAGTTGTATCCTCATCCAACCTATTTCTTTTTTTACTTACCACATTACCAGCCAAAGAAAATAATTGTTCACAGGGTACTGAAGAAGCTTGTACAGATAAATAACTCTGGGCCATTTTTGATAATATAGGGTATTCTGTTGAATGAGCATGCCACCATGATAATGGTTCTATATCAAAACTTGCATCTGCTGATTCCCAGTATTTTAACAATTCATCAGTATTTGAATTTCTTTGTTGACGTACAGATGATAAACGTTGAACAAATATAGATGCATTATTATTAGATGGCAAATTACTTAAAGCTGAATCTGGAAAATTATTACGAATGGGTTCAAGAATCTCATTGATTTCCAAGTTTTTGTATGCAATTGTTTTGTACCTTGGGTCAAAAAATGCTGGAACATGAGTCATTTTATCAATGTGAGCCCAATATTCTTGAATTTTATTACGGATTGCCAAAAGAACTTCACCAAGAGAATAGTTATGACCTCTATTTTCATTAAGATCAACAAGTAAACCTAAAAGTACTACTCTTGCATATGCTATTGTTGGATATGTTTGTGTGGAAAGTTCGGCTGTAGCAATATGAAATTGTGATAATAAATTAACCAGATGCTAAAATTAAAACTTGTAATTAATAATTAAATATAAAATAATAATTTAATAATTATTATAAAAATTAACACTTACTTCAATTTTTTCCCATTCCCTTTCATTAAGCCAAATATCCTGAAGTGGTTGATGTCGAGATTTTATTATTAATAAGTCATCCTTAAGAATTAATGCACGTTCAGCCATAAGGAATACAGAATTCCATCTGGTTTTAACATCCAAAATTGGATGCTTAAATGTATGATTAGCAGCAATTGCTAATCTTTCTAATTCCTCAAGATATAATTGGGTTCTCCTAACACGTTTTACTATTTTTCTTAACTTCTTAATTAAATTTTCTACATGTTTTAATCCTGCATTTACTGCAAGATTTAATATATGACATATACAATGAGAATGAATAAAATCTAATGCAGGTGTTTGAATGTCAAAATCATTTTTTAACAATCTACAAGCCACAACCATATTACTTCCATTATCAGTAGTAATGGATATAATTTTTTGTTTGAGATCAAAATCTACTAAAAGTTTATTGAGAATTTCATAAATTGCATTTCCAGTATGAGAACCAGTTATTCGCAAAACTTCAAGTGTAAAATGCTTCAACTTCCATTCATTAGTAATAAAATGAATTGTAACTCCAATAAATGCTTCATTTTTAATACTTGACCATATATCAGTTGTAATTGAGCAACGACCTGGAATATCTTTAACAAAATCAACAATATGTTCACGCCTAGATTTAAATTCAGACATTATTTCATTTTTTAATGTAGTACGACC